AGTAGGAGGAGGAGGAGGAGGAGTTGCAATAGTATTACCCCTGACGTGCGGAGCAAGCATGCAGTTTCAAAGAAGTGTTCATCTGCACAGCTTCTTGCAAAGGGGCACAGAGCGCTCTGCGAGCACTTGCCCGCTCGGGCATGAAGATTGGCCGGATTGAGGCCTGGTGCACAAGATGCAGCTGCTTAATGCTCCGAAACGCCGACCGAGCCCCTTTGCGCTTTCGTGTAGGATGTGACACCGATTCCCACAGACTGCACTCGGAGAAAGTGCGGACGTCGCGGCCGCCGTTTGTAGGCCCTCCGTCCAGTTTTTATCAAGCACAGCTTCCAGGCCATGTTCTTATGATTGGGGTGACTATGAGTGACGGTCTTGACGATTCCAAGCAATCAAGCTGTCATCCTCTCTTGGGAGTTTTGCCGAGATCTTTGTGCAGGTGTTGGGATCGATCGCACGCTGGAGTGATGAGAGGATCTGCTGGCGAGAAAAACTGTCAAGTTGGATTGACTTCCATAGCGTCTTTTCCTTTGGCATGCCTGAGTTTGATGATGCTGTTTGAGGTTTGATCATCGCACATTTGGAAACTGTTTGTAACAAGAGAGAGTTTGGTGCGCTCCGTCGGATATGCGTCGTTTTGTCGCCTTGTTTAGAGCGAATTCCTTCATCAAGCCGCCGCATCCCGTACAGCCATCGCTGCCGGCATCTGTAACCGCAGCCACATCACCTCCGTTGGCAGAGACATCGCAGGAGCCTGGAGTCGCAAGCACAGGACAAAACGGCTGCAATGCGGAACGAACACGTGTAAGCAAAGGTTTCGGTTGCACATGGTTGCATGAGATTCGAGAGGCTGCTGGCCTCGCGGCCTCTCACCAAAACCCACACACTTCCTACCCAGCCGTGCCTCTGCGCGATGGCGGGCAAAGTTTTCCGGACGGCGCATGGAGCTTTCGGCCCATGGAGGCCAAGAGGGTCATGCTTCATGCTTCAGGTGTAGGAATTAGGAATCCTCAGAATTCCCGGTGTGGAAGATAAGATCACGTCTAGCTGCCAACAAACAAGATCTGATTTTTGTCATGCGGTTGGTGGAACCGCGATTTCCGTATCATAAGCTGAGTATTGACTTGTACCTTCAGTTCCAATGGAGAAGTCTTTGAGTCCGAGTTGCCGTGAGGTAGACGACGAAGCGCTGGAGGCTGTGCCTGCTGCCGGGACCGGGGGGGCCCTTCAATGATTATGTGGCCTTCAACTTATCCGCTTCGGCCTGCATAGACACGAACTTGCACCGCTGCGAAGGCACAACTGCTTCGTCTTTGCAGTTGTGGAGATACTGCGGCTGCAGCACGGTTTCTTATCAGAACACGCCGGTGTGTCGTCCAAGCTCACCTGCGCTAGCTTGTAGGCTTCTCTGCTCGGCGCCTGCCGATGTGCTGCCGGACGCCCTTGAGCTTCGTGACCAAGACAAGCGGACACCTTTGCTTGCAGCTGGTGCTGCAGGTGAGGCTTGTGGTTGCTACAAGATAAGTTTGATCATCGTCCCAAACTCTTCAAGCAACAGTCAGCTGTCGTCTGGTGTGAGCTTGTGCCATTGTTATTGAGCAAGTGGTGTTGGAAATGCACTTCAAGATTCCCTGGTCGAGGTACGAAACTTGCTGCCACATGCTCAATTCAGCAGGGCAGATACCTCCTGGTGTGTGCGCATGTGAGGCTCGCTGGACCTGGTGAAACTGCTGCTGGAAGCTGGTGCAGATGGAGAGGTTTGCGTGGCAGCTTCTATGTGACAGCAAGATGAGTCTTGTTCTCCGGGATGATTCGCCACCCCAGACTTGCAAACTGCAAAAGCAAGAAGAATCGAAGCACACTCGAATGTTTAAAGCAGAGGGTTGGCATCTGCATAACGTGCATAGCTCAAGCCAAAGAGGACATGCAGACAGTTGCGCAGAAGCTCAATCTTTGCACTGTCTTTGAGCTGGGTCAGGCATCCGACTCGGATGGCTGCGGCTTGGCGCTCCTGGCTGCTTCCTCAGGACGAAAGTCGACGAAAGTGTGAAGTCGGGGTGCGCTGGGAGCCTTCCGAACCCGGCGAGGAGATCCCGAGCTCCTGGCATGGCTGATTCATCGAGGCTGTAGCGGGTGGAGCGGGGACGGTCCTGCAGAATTGCCTGCCGTCCACTGCCAGAGGCCTGGCCGACTTGACTGAAAGCGCACATGATGGAAGTCAGCTCCTCGCTTCTGCTAAGTGCCAGCATGTCCGTGCTTGGACCTCTGACACGCATTGCTTTCAAAGACTCCGAACGAGCTGACAGCCCTGCAAGCCTTGCAATTGGAGTCCAGGCACTGCGCTACTTTGCGCTGCTAGCAACGAGGCCGTCGAGTATGCTCGTTTTGTGACGTATCCGCAGGGGCTGTGTTTTGTGGTTTTCGCCTTTGCAGTGTGCCACATGGCCCATGACGTATGTGGATTTCTCGTCAGGCAGGAGCTGTGGAGATGCTCCATTTTTTGCTCGATGGACCTCCAGGTGAGCGGTTTTCGACACCTTGTCATGGCGAACACCAAGCGCTTAGTTCAACACCTCGGCATGAAACTGTGCAGTTCTGGCTGCCGCTGATACCCAGCATGAAGCCATCAATCCATGAAGAAGCCACAACCTCTGGTAATCGGAGAACTGCTTTCTCAATGTGTGGAGGAGCCCTGGTCGTGCCGTCTTTGGAGGAGCACTCCAGAGGCACGTCATCACCCTGAGATTTTGAGAGAATTGGCCCCCAGCAGGAGCAGGACGAGCGAGGCGCCAATGCGCTGCTAGTTGCTGCGGAGGCTATTGCTCGGGGATTCGGAAATTCCTTTGCAGAGTGAGATGGTATCTCTGTCTGCGTGAGGCAGGGGCGGTGCCTGCAGCGCAGGTGCTGTTGGCACGTGGGGCGTCACCGGAGAGTCGTGACGCACGTGGATCTTGCGCGTTGCTTGGCTTATTACCCATCTTATACCGGTCATGCCTGCAGCCTTGGCAGGGGCAGCATCTCAGTTTTTTTTTGCATGTGTTCCTGTGGTCCACAAGTCATCTTCAAGTTGCATCCGCTTTGCATCATCAGAACCGCAAGTTCAAATGTATTGACATCTATAGCAGGCTGCACTATGCAGCTGCTGGTGGATCCAACAGCATGGTTGACTTTTGCGTCAAATCGCCTCTTGGCATGAACCGAGACGTTCCAGGTTGCCGTTATCTTGTGCTCAAGACAGGTGTCGCCAGTCGCCAGTCCTGATGCAAGGTTGAAAATCCCCGTGGACGCCGCGAGCTGAGGGAACGGATGAGTTCCTTTCATCCTCAGCAGCATGTCACCTCGTTTGGGTGGATTTACCACTGGACGTTCGCAGCTCTTCGAGCGAGTTCCTGCTGTTGCATGTCCACACTGTGGTTCAAGGTCGTGGACAGCGATGGAGACACACCGCTCATGATTGCAGCGCACGAAGGCAATGTCGAGGCCAGTTGCAATTCTTCTGGAATCTTGGCACAGTGGCGCAAGTGCATGAAGTTCACCGCTCACGTCCTAATTTGTGCACAGGATCCGCGGGAGACCGCCTCGCAGAAATCCAGATTCATTGTAAAATCCAGTTCATGTGCGACTTGTTGGCCTCGAAAACCTTGAATTCCGCGAAGTACTCGGGGCAAAGCCGTCCTCACGAGTCCCATTTTTGCCGTGCTCCTGAATCCTTCGGCGCATTTTGGCCGGGTCCTGGTGGTCTCCTGGTGGTCTCCTTGTGGTCTCCTTGTGGTCTCCTTGTGGTCTCCTGGTCGTCCAGGTCCTCCTGGTCGCAGGTCCTGGTGTTACCATGTGGTCGTAATGGTCGTCTTGGTGCTCGTCCTCACCATACCTGTCGCGGCCGCCGGCACAGAGTCTGAAAACCAATGCAGGTTCCACATCGCGGAACTTCTCAACTGACCCGCATGACTCGCAGCAACATCAACCCCGGGAAGGGATCATCCCGATAAGCGTTGGCCATCGGAGGGACAGGTCCGGTAGAGCCATGATCTCAGCCGCCCTAAATGCAGGTTATCCCTCCCCGTGGCCCTCCGAGTCACAAACAAATCAGACCCAGTGCACGTCATGCTCGCAGTTTCACAGAGTCACCTCCCGTGTTTCACAGTGAGTGTCCCCCCCCTCATACACGTAGACGCAGCTGGCCGACTGAAACGGTGGGCGGGGGCCCGACGTTGCCGGGTAACGGAAGAAGGCATGGTGCAGGACTTTCTGACGTTGGCTCGTTCGGTGGCAGCAGGAGCGCACGAGTTTCGATCGTCCAACCATGATCAAAACCACGGTCGGCAGCACATCTCAAGTCGTCCCGTTGAAAGCTTGATCTACAGAGTCGAGCCATGCAAAGCGACTCATCTGTGAATGTGTTTGTATCGTCTGGCTACGACACCCCACTCTTGCTAGCTCTGCCCAGTCGGTATCGACGCATCAACTCGTGCTTTCAGGCTTTTGTCGACACATCCCTGCGAGGTGGTGCGCTGGCTGCTGGCAGCGGGTGCCTCCCTCGAGCATCGCAATGCGGAAGGCGTTCCGCAGCATCCTGCATCAGCCGCATTCTGTCGAGCTGGTTGTACTGCTTCTTGCAGCAGCGTCCTTGCTTGTGGTCATACTTAGCATGAAATCAACTCCCCTCTAATTTAACCGCTAGCCCGAGACCCGCTTCGGACGGTCGACCGGGCGGGGCAGAGATTGGAAGCAGTCAGAGGTGAAGACGCCCCAGGCCTCCAGCCTTGGCGGATGTGAACATGACAGAAGTCTACGTGCATGCAGGAATGTCGCCCTTGATGGCCGCAGCTGCTGGGGAGCGAAGTGAGGTGCCGCACTTCGAAGCACAGTACCTCCTTTTGGGCAGTTTGTACTGGAGCTTGAGCTCCAGCGACCCCAAAGGTGTTGTCGTTGATGTCGCAAGTCGCGGGAGAGGCGACGGGTCGGGATGCATTTCGTCAAGAGTCAAAGGTTTCCTCGGGTGGAGGGACGTGAATGGTGCAGGGTTGCCCGTAGACGAGCATAGCGACGATGTGCGGTGTCAGCTCTTCGGAATGTCCCATGGGTACATGACCGCAACTTTACCAACTAAGTGCTTGCCTCCACCAGCATATTCGCGACCTCTGAAAACTGCGTGTGGCCTGCACACCGTTACTACCCACTTTTGGCAGGCAGTCGCCAACTTGTGGCTTCAGGACGTGCAGCATCATCCAAAGCTCCTGTGTCTTGGTCTTTACTTGCCCTCTTCTCCCCGAGCAGCAGAATGGACAGCTCCAGATTTGCATCGGCGCAAACCGAGGCTAAATTTCTTGGAGTGTGGGCTCTGAGGCTGTTGCGATTGCGAGAAAATGCCGAAGATTTGTTTTGCGCAGGGATGTGTCACAGCAGCACTGATGAAAGCCAAGCGCCGATCATTCTGTAATTTGTGCGTAGCTCTCTCAAGTCATCTGAACTGGGGGACTGGGTTCTAGACCTCACCGTTACAATGCAGGCAGGCAGCTCAGCTCACTGTTTCCGACGCTGTGATTGAAGAAAAAAGTCTGGGCATTGGCAACTTGCATGTTCGAGGTTATTAGCACAATGATCCTTGCTCCACTGGCAGTGCGGGTCTTGGTGCCATAAATTGGGAGGGTGTCTCCACTTTGTTTTAATAAGGGTACAAGTGACTAGCAGAGCAATTGGCTGCAGGCTTTTCTTTTTGCTTCAGTAGAAGCCGGACAGGCCGGGAGAGTTCGACATTCGTCTGAGTCTTGGAGTAGATTTGACACGTCACGACGTGAACTCACGCGAATCCATGCAGAGATCCAGTAGCTGTGGAGCTGGGCCGTCAGGGACCATGGATCAGAAAACGAAAAATGCTCAGATGTTCCAGACTATCCCTGTCCAGACTGGAAGCTGCAGAGTCTGTTTTGGACCAGGCGCCAGTCGTCGCACAGCTTGCTGCGGAGGGGGCTCAGGCGCAGGCGCTGAAACCTCAGAAAGTATGGAGATGAGGTGGTCTCGCGACACTGAGATTAACGATGGAGACATCTCACACAGACAAGTGGCAGAGGTCCGATGCCCACCTCAACACTGTGGCCGGAGCATTGACGGATCTGCTGAAGAGCAGCCAGAACTCTCAGAGGGTTTTGCAGCATCGGCTCAGATGGTGTACTCTGCACCAATGACACGCCGGTGAGGCGACAAGAGCGCTGCCAGCTCTCTCTCCAGCATCGCGCAGGCCACGCCAAGAGCCACGCTCTGCTCTCTGGCACTTGTGACGAGCCGGTGCGTTCAGTCCTCCCCATCGTGGAGGTGTCGAACACCTCGGCCATCGTGGACACCATCAAAGACTTGTTGAACACCACCATGAAAGGAACGAGAGCAGAGCAACAGAGCAGTTAATCAGTAACTCAATAGTAACCGCCTTTAGAACATACTGTGCCAAAGCTTTCAGGACGGCTTCTCACTGCGCACAAGAACAGCCCGCGGCCGAGTACAGAGTTTGGTGAACTCCGTTTCGACTGCTCGGCGACCCAAACATCCCTCCGACTGCTCGCACTTCTTTGCAAGGCCTGGCTGCGATTGCGGACTCCAAGAAGCTCTTTGTCGACTGCCGCGAGACGTATCAGGTGCTGGAATAATTTGACTGCCATACAGGATAAATGCTTCTGATCCTTTCTTCAGTACAGGTGACAGCTCTCAATGTAGGAAGTGCGACGGTCAGGCTGCTGATCATGTTCGCTTTCCTCCAGCATCTCTCCTGCAGACAGTCAACGCGACACCGTGGTACGAGGCGCAAACAGTAAGTCATCATTGGGACACTGCGGTTGCTGTTTGTGCCAAGCGTTTTCGAGCTCAAGGTTGTTGAGCAGAAGAGACTGAAACTGCCGCATGCTGGACCCATGCCAAAGCCTGAAACATGTCGGAGCTGCTGGAGGAGTTCTTCCAGGCCTACTCCCAGTGCAAGCAATGGGAGGCACAGATTGGACAGGACATGACGCTCGGCTGAGAGATAAGTTAATCAGGCTCTTCTGAGCTGAATTACGGTTTGAACACGAACATGAAACAAACAGCCGCAAGACGCGGTTCTAGTTCCTTTGCTTTTGATCCTGGGACCACTGTCGCGAGTGGGAGTAAGGACTGCTTGTGACTACCACTGCACCTCGGAGGCAGGATGTCTTCTGTCTCGGCAAACAAGTGTTGCATAACGGACCTTGCTTCAAGGGTGTGGCACCGGCATCAGAGATTACTGTTTGGGGTTTGCGGTCGCTTGTTCATGCAGTTTGTGCTCTACGAGATATGGCTCCGAAGGGACAACTTGAACATACAGACCGTCCGAACTTCTCATTCGGCCGGATCATTTGCGCCGCCGGCTGCTGACACCAGTGGTACATGCGAAGTAGGGTTGCAGCGAAGCTGTCTCAGGTGCCAGGCGCTGCAGCATCCCTCGTCTCTTTTGTTGTCTAGGGTAAGGTAACTCTTCTTGTTCGACTAGCTGCCGGCCTCAAAAAAACTGTCGCCTACATTACATTCGCTCGTAGGTGCTTGCGCAGCAGCAGCATTTTATTGGCATGAAGGTGAAGGTCGTCGGGGAGGATTGCACCTTTCTTGGTGATCAGTGCGGTCCTCTCGACTGCCATCTCCTCAGCATCTGTACAGAGCGAGTAAGAAGAGGCTTAGGTACAGTGCCTGGTTCAGATGAAGTCTGGTGCAAGCAAGGCATGTGTGATGCTCGCGAAGCTTTCGTCAAAATGGAATGGGTTTTCACATGTCTCAAGGTTCCAGAACTCCGAGCTCAGTTTTGTCAGCCGGTTGATACTACCTCTTCGTTGAGCCTCCCTCACGTCTCTCAATCGTTGAACCGTCAATCATGCAGCAAGAGCAACCTCCAACGATTGAACCTTAAAACAGTACTGCCCGTGCAGGAGGAAAGCGGCGTAGCTCCAATCATCAAACGATTTGCATTCCAAGTAAGCATGAAGCATCGTGTGGGACAAGACAAACATGTCAGGTGCGCCGGTCACCGGCGAAGGCTACAAGTCTTTCCTTGAACGAATGATCAAGGACGTCATGATCTGGCATCCGACGATTGGCGGGTCTGAGAGACAACCTAGATGAGTCTCTGGCTTTCGATCAGATCACAGCACGAACCGCAGTCCATCTTTACCAGCAGATTCTGTGGCACATGAGCGGACTTTTCTGGACGGTGCAGGACATCAAGACACACCTAGACTTCTTGGTGTGGGTGCTGCTCTCAGGCTAGAAACAAGGATTCTTGTTCATCCTCGCTTGGCCGAGGAGCGCTACAACGAGACCCATGGATGCAACGATATCTGGGGAACTGCAGAGCGCTGCTTCAAGAACTGCGACGGCCACGTCATGGAAATTCAAGATCTGGTGCCGTGACATGTTCTTGGCTGTTTGCATCATTCCAGAAATCCAACGGACTGCCCCCAACTATACTCCGTTGACGATCTCTCAGGTACCGCACAAGTCCACCGACATTCCAGGACGCATGGAACGGCCCAAAAGCATGAAAGCTGCACGTGTCTTCGAGTGCAGGCTGCTGCGCTCCGCGCACCCAGGCTGAGGATGCGAAGTGCCAGGCCTCTCCTCTGTACAGCAGCCCTTTCTAGGGGGCTAGCGGCTACTCCGTAGCTTCTTTCCGAAGGAGCTCAAGTCGCAGCGAGTGGCCTGGCAGACCTACGACCAATGCCGCGGACCCTGCAGAGGGCCCGCATCGCTCTTGCAAGTTCTCGGCTTGTGTAGCTTCCCAAGTGACGGAGCTCTCCACTGCTCTAGCATCGTGCTGCAGAGTTCTGCCAGCCACTGCTTTCTTCGGAGAGGATGCGTTCCATGTTCGCCGAGGCTATGACGCGGCCCTGCCACAGTGGGAAACCACCAAGGCCGGGTAGTTTTGCAAAGATCTTGTTGAACCCACTGAAGAGCTCCGACTGGTTTCGAGAATGATGGTCCGTGCCTCCGTTGTCATCAGGAGGAGCAGATGGCAGAGGCCGACTCTCGCAAGGCTGGTTGCATTGATATCGGAGCAGAGACGGCCGAACTCTGCGTCACAGACCCTATGCATCACTACCCTCTCGATCTACTCCATGCAGTTGCTACTTGTTGGGAAGGAAGTGTCAGCTTCACACCTTGCTGAAAGCAATCATGTGCAAGTCTGCCCTGCTTTGTCGAAAAGGCGCAGATGCGATCCATCCTGAGAATGCTGTGCTACGTGAGCCTTGGCTAGTGGAATGGTGTCATGGCTTCAAGACTATTAATTTCATTGGCTGGTGCGCGGCTGCCCATCTCCGGGCTTGGGTTCACGTCATCCGAGCTCACCGCAACTGTCCAGACTTTTTCTTGCGTTGGACAGTCTGAAGACTTCCAATCTCCGGGTCGTGATTGGTGTCGTCCAAGGAGCTCCTTCGGGCCGAACCAGGCCGCGCTGCTGACGCAGTGTGCCCTCCTCCAGTTGTTCTCTCTCTGAACATGGTGGAACCACCACTATTTTTAAGATGTAGATGTCCAGCTGCGACGTCTCAGTCTGCGAAATCGCCTCATGCTGTCGCAATCTGGAGGGCTCAGCTGGTGTTTCAGTGCTGTCGGTGTTGTGGTGGCCTCGTGCAGTGGTTTTGAGGTATGGAGAAGGACTTCAAGCAGGATCCAGATGTGCTGGCTATGAACATTGATCTAGGCCCGCGCCAGGGAGCCGTTCTGTGGTAGGAGTTGAGATGTCCTGTGCCACCTCATGGAACGCTGGTGATGTGCTGCGGTTGGGACTTATGCCAGGGACGCCAGAGACCAAGTTGGACGCCTTCAGCTGCAACTCGAGCAGCCGGGCTGAAATTGAAGCTTCTAACGAAGCACCAATCGAAGTCACGCCCAGAATGCTTCTTCCAAAGGGTGTTCAATTTCGTTTCTTAGAGTTCATGACCCACTACCGGCCACCGGGAAGTTGGATCGCAGGCAAAACATGTGTGAGCATACTGCTGCAGTCCGGAACTATTGTTGCCGACTCTGCAAACCTGCAAAAGGTCTGAAGAAGCACTGCGAACTTTGACAGCAAAGCAGGATCGCACCACGAAAACAGTTTGCAGCCGCTACACTTCCCGGGAGGGCATGACGAGGTCAGGCATGTTCGTGCAGGAGGATTCCCAGTGAAAGCTGTGAAATTGCCAAGAATGCACATGCGAGCGGAAGTGTGGACGTTTACTGATCGCTGAACTGAACCAGGGGAACGGAGACTTGACTGAGCGACAGTGGTTTTTCTGCACAATCGTGATTCTGATCGGAGCCAAGAGACTGTTGCACCACTTGCGACGTTTGAGACCTACATCAGTCGCTGACTCACCTTAGATACTGCCCGCATCAGGATAGTCTTCCTGAAGTGGAGACTTCGCTGAGCTCGGTGGAGTCTTTTGTTGGCTTCTGCTGTTTAAAAGAAAGAAAAAGAACAATATTTGTCGATAGGGTGCAGTCCAAGTGACTAGGATGCATCGCCACAGTGCTGCATGGTGCAAAACCGTAGTGGGAGGGCAGATCATAATCGACCTGACAGATGTTCTTTAAGTTCGTTGACGAATTTGGACTTGCAGGTGGTGGCTTGTGTGATCTCGTGTGGATCGGTTTGACCGGAAAAGCTGCGACCTGTTTGAGCTTCTCTCATACTCGTGGTGCGTGTAGTTACAAGATAGGAAACGGTTGTCGAAGACCTTCCTTGGCAGACCTAAGTTGTTAGAAGTGATTCCGGTTTTCGACACCCTCTCACACCACGCAACTAACGGAAAGGCTGCGATGCCCATGTAGAAAGAACAGCGGTTTTCGAAATTGGACGAGCCTGAGGATATGAGCATCAGGAATTCTCGTGGAGGATTCCGTTTCGATGACCGAGGGCTTGGTACATACGCTCATGTTGTCTGAATCCTGGGCGCTATGCCAGAATCAGAACAAACCTGATGCTGTTCCTGCTTTGCGAATGCTAGTGATGGTGTGCTGGGCAGTAACATGACTCATCAGTGCAGTGCAGGTGAAACTCCTGGAACTGCAGAGTTTGATGCAGTCCACTATGGTGCCTCGGACGAAGCATAAGCGTCGCTGACGTTTTGTGCAACATCATGTTGGCTCTCCTCCTTACTCAGGTCATGTCATGTCACGCCTCACAATTTCCACTGTGTTGTTTGCGCAGTACTACTGATACTACTGCCTGACCATGTCCTCCTCAAGTTGTAGTTCGTCAGTCTGTGTCGATCTCTTGCAGAATTCAAGCGGGTGGGGATGTGGACATCCGATTTCAGCAGGGGTGCTCTCGAAGGTCAGGTAAGCCTTTTGGAGAGATGCCTTGGCCAATGCAAGGTCATGTTTCGACCACTAAAGTTACCAAAGGCTAAGAACTCCATTGGCTGAGCCATGCCTCTGTGATTTCGACGTGTGCTCCGTTTGATGTCATGCCGGCTTGCAGCGATCCAAAGCCGTCGACAGGCAACCTCCCGGCTGGGCTTGCAACCTGCCCACAGCTGCACTGCGAGGTGCAGTGGGGATCGGTGGGGATTTGTGCTTGAAGCAGACGATGTGGTGTTGGTCAGACTAGGATTCCAGGAGCATGTGCTTCCATGCAGCCGGAAGTGGAATTCCCAGATCAGTGTTTCGTAAACAGGAGTTGCTTGTCTGTGATGTGACGATGACCTTTGAAGAGCGAGCTGTGGCTGGCTGTCCCGAACGCCAGGAAGCTTGCAATGGCGAGGTCAACATCTCTTCCGTGCAAATTCTCAGTGCTACCACGGTGCCCAGACCGAATGATGGATGCAGACATGCAAGCAGTGAGCTCTTGTGATCCTGAGGTTCCGTTGCATGCTGGAAGTGCTTGTCCAGACACGCTTCAGTTTGTTTAACCCATGTGAGCACGGCTTCAGGCTGAACTTCAACAGCATTCGTTGCATGCGCACTGAGCCACTGGCAAGAAGCACCACACACTTGTGCGACGCATAGTCTTGCGTCCTCTGAAGATCCCCTCAGCCAGTCCTGGCGGAGCGGTCGTGGAGACACGCCCGAGACTCCTTGTGTCCACGGCAAAGTAGCCTGCGCATTGGCACTCTTACTGGACGACATACGCATTGTGTGTAACAGGTTGCGTGGGAGAAGTTAGCACAGGCATAGCAAAGGTTACCAGAGCAAGTCCGAAAGTGAGGCGAAGTCGTTAAGAAGTGCTTTGGGGCCCTGACACTCATTGCGTGCCTTATGTGGCAACGGCGAAGCAAGCCACTTCCATCGCCGCATGACTTGCTTCAAGATGTGGATGTCAGTGTGGAATGGGGCTGCATAAGGCATCTCCTCTTCCCGAGATGACTACGGTGCAGGGCTAAGAGACCTGGTTGCTTGATCAAAGTGTATCTGTAAAACTGCTTGAGATACAGTGAGCTACTGTTGAGCTACTGTTGAGATGCGGCATTCGGGAGTTTTCCCACGGTTGTTCCGGGACGTATGGCCTGATCTCAGAGGTCTGGATAAGAGAGTCTCGTAACTTACCTGTCAATTGTAAACGCTTCGCGTCCTCCGCCTCCGGGTTGGAAACCGGCGGGAAAGGGTTTGGGGGGAAAGGAGGGAAGTGGGGGCAGGGGGCCGGGGGCGGGGCAACGAATTGCTGCAAAAAGGGCCCGAATGAAACTAGCACCCATTTTTGCATTTTTTTTGGTGGGGGATGGGGGCAAGCTGCGAGCAGAATTTCTGGAGGTAGGGGTGTTAAGGGTCCCTGTAAGAACCTCGGACCGCTTCGGCCGAGGTCGAGGCGAATGTGCAATTCTGTTTGTCCTAAGTTTGAACCGTGGTTAGATCCCAGAATATCCCAGACGAGTGTAACTGTGTCCGGTGGCCCGTGCACTAGCAGGCACTTCTAGCTGCAATGCATGCTGCGTGTTGGTTTGATTGTACGTTGCGCAGCATCTGCAGGCATCGACCAAGTGCTTCAAGAAAGCAGGCGGTGCTGATGCCGTGTATTGGGACCTTGGCTCGAAGCAGGCGGCCGGGGACACAGGAGGATGCTAAACTTAAGGTCATGGAAGTCAGGCAACTCCATCAGGTTGCATGGCTTTACTCGCCGTGACCTGTACACGTCTGACAGTTCCGTCACAGCACCAAGGTTGGTGCGGTGTTCGCCGATCCGTCTGATGATGTCTCTAGCATCAAGGCCGTACTTGCCGCCTGCTTTCATGTTTCTCGTTCCCAGCTGCCTACACGAGCTGCACATGCAGTTCCCTGCTGTGGCGCCACAGAGACGCGACAGCCTCCCCAATTTGCCAAGCACCTTAGCCACGGTAGCTCTGTGGAGGGGTCGCATCAGGTGTATCTCACCAATTCGGAACATGGCACTGCCCTACCGACTGCAGAGTACCCTGGCTGCAAGGGAGTCCTAGCAGAGCTGTTGCAAGAGGGGCCGGGCTAACAACGTGCAGCGCTTAAGAAGATACGAAGCCGTGTCGCAGCCACATACTGTATCTATGCCTGTCAGACGGAGGCTCTGTGGTACGATCACCGAGGAGTCCAAGACGGTGGCAGCTTGGAGAAATCATTCGCACATTGATATCGTGACATGCAAGGCTTTACCTAGCCACTAGGGAGCCCTATGTTTTTTTAAATATTTTGTTAGTTTTGTTTTGGGATTTGTTGTCCGTTTGCTGTTTTTTGTTCTCCATGCTTGGATTTTGATGGCCGGTTTACCTTACGTTTTTGCTTGCTTGATGTTTGTTTGTTTGTTTGGTTGTTTGTTTGTTTGTTTGTTTGTTTGTGCTTTTGCTTGTTCGCTGATTCTTAGCTTTTCCGCTTCTCTGCCTTGCTTTTTTGTTTGATTCCCCTTTTTTGCCGTTCCACTGTTGTTTCTGCCTTCTGCCTGCGTTTGATTGTCCTTTTGCGTGTCCTTGCTTTTGCTTTTTGGCTTTGCTGCTTTTCTGCTTCTTCGCTGTTCCGCTTCTTGGATCGCCAAATGAGGGGGCGGATTTAGGAACTGTGATCAACTGGGATCGCCTTGTGAGGAGGCATACGTGATCAACCTGGATCGCCAAGGGAGGGGGCGTTTTGGCGTTTTGTCACGAAATCTGATCGCCAATGGAAGGGGCATGTTTCTGGCTCGTGACAACCTGGATACATGATGGGTCGTGTTTAAGATGTGTGCCGAATGGGCATCGCCGAAGGAGGGGACGTGTTCAGGATATGTCATGATTCGGTCGGGCTCGCCAAAGGCGGCGGATGTGATCGGTATCCGCCAATGAGAGGGCGCAAAGGCGGGGCGAGTTTAAGATATTGGATCAACCATCGATCAGCCTGAATCGGCAAATGAGGGGCGTGCTTAAGATATGTGCTCATCTGGGTTTCCATATGAGTGTGCGTGTTGAAGATATGTGACGAATGTTTACATGTAGAATATGTGATGAACGCTTAATTAATGAGCGGGCGGGTGTGCAGAATAAGATCAACCTGGATCGCCGAATGATTTGGCGTGTTTAGGATATGTGATGAACCGGGGCGCCAAGCGAAAACTGGATTTAAGAGATGTGATCAACCGGGATCGCCTACCGAGGGGGCGTGCAAAAGAAATGGCATCGCCAAAGGAGGGGGCGAGTTTAAGATACCCGATCAACCGAGATCGCCAAATGAGGAGACGTTGTCAAGATATGTGATGGATTGGGATCGCTCCTGTTTAAGATATATGATCAACTTGGATCAGCAAATGAGGGGGCGTGTTTAAGATGATGAATCGGGATCGCCAAAGGACGGGGCGAGTTCAAGATGTGTGAGGGACCTAATGAGCCCGACCCTACGCCCTCCGGTTCCGTGCCATGAAATGCGAACACTTTAGTTTTTGTGTATTCAACCCTACCTAGACCCTCCGGCTTCGTGCCGTGAAGTGCGAACACATTGGATACGTTGGTCTTTGTGTACCAAACAGGACCCTGTGTGCGCCTTAGACGGGCGTTTTGTCGTGTGAGACGTTTTACCGTGTGCGCTTAAACCCGATGGCTTATACCCAAAGGAAGACTCCAAATCGTTTCCGCCAAGTACTGCTGCGAGTCAGGGTTTTCCACAAAACATAAAATACCACCAAAACCCAACAAAGAGAATTCCTAAATTGTTTCTCGTACCAGCCACTTGTCACTCAGATTTTGAGCTGTTGCGCTGCTCCACTGCCTTAGGATTGTGGAGCCAGATCTGGTGCCCGATACCTTGTGATGCAACCGTTCATCACTGGCACCTGCGTGTTCGGCAACTGGGCCAACATGGTGTGTTCAGTGATCAGCTTGAATTCCGGTGCCTTCATGGCCACACACCGCGGCCACCCCGCCGAAATGTTCTCTTGATTCAGGCGGCTGCACTCCAAGTTGGTGCCTCATGACCGTGGATGGCAGCAACATGACACAGGACGGCGAGACAAAGGGCTGCCAGTGATAGGACAAGTCACATCGAATGTTGCAAGCGCAACCGACATCACACCCAACATCACACTTCAAGAAGGCGAGAGCACCTGAAACCTGCAAGTTTTCAGGCAGCTTAAAGACTTCCAGTTGAGGGCGTTTAGGTGAAAGGTGCATCGCAGAGTTTAAGCGGGAATGCCAGCTTTCAGGCTTCGGAGTACATGAGCTTGCAGTATCTGCGAGGACCCAATATCCACGACTGGTTCCTCCTTCATGGGCCAGGTCGTGGTCAATGCCACGGCCTAGTCGCTCTGATTAGCACCGCAAATCTGCCCGGAGCAGCTTTCACAAAGCAGAAAAGCCGTGCCAGCTTGGGCCAATGACAATGATACAGATCGATTGTACCGACATTGAACGATGTTTGTTGCATATGCCCGGATAAGCCATATGAGCCTACTTTCTGTTGTCTTTTCAATTTTCATGCCGGACGCAGGCATAAAGGCTACGCTGCTATGGAATTTGGGCGTAGTTCGGTGTTCGTAACACAGGACCGGGTTTATGTGTGTCCAGGCGAGGCATCGTCAGAACTGTTGTTTTCAAGGATTTTCGAGGTGCCGCTCGAGTTGAGCTTTGTGTTGGAGCTCGCTGCGGAAGATTTGCCCTTAAATTACATGATGCCTTCAACTTGTTCCAGCCGCAGCCTTCTTAGCGATCGTTCGCATTCCATCAAGTGATTGGAGTGAGCCGTGAGGCTAGTGCAGTGCTTGAAGCCGTGTGCTGAGATCAGCCATGCATTCAGATTTGCCTCCATCGGATCCAACAGCTCCGGACCCTGTGCACCCTCGCCTGATCAGCACACGTTCTGTTTGACTTGAAGCTCTAGCTTTGGTCCGTGACCTGGGCATTCTGTGGTGCCCAGGCAACAGGATGTGATACAGGAGTTCGAGCACCTTGCAAGCACATTTTGCATGCTCAAGACTGAAAAGACCAAGGCGTTGCATGTCGGGAAGCAGCGTTATTTCGCACAAAGTGGTAAGAGGAAATGTGCAAAGTCAAGGAAGTTGAGGAGGTTCTTGGACTACCAGTTCGCGAGGCAGACCACGTATCTTCAGGAAGTTAGCCTTCAGCTGCATCGTGTTGCTTGGCGAGAACTGGATGCCGTCAGACAAAACTAGGCAATGCCACAACAACTTCTGGTTTCTTGCTACCGTCTACTGTTGGTAGTTAGTGAACGGGGAGCCATTCATGTCTGCTGGTGGGCTGAGTTGCCATGGTGGTTTGCGTGTTCAGCACAATTGGCACAGGTTCTACAGGGATAGTGCGTTTTGCCCCTCCCCCTCACAATGCCCTGCCCATCGTCAAAGCAAAGGCTCGCGCCTGTTCCTTACACACAGCCCCTTTTCTTCAGTTTCCACGTACCGGCAGTAGTGCTAGTAAGCAGTAGTAGTAGTAGTAGT